TAAGATTTACTTCAATCAATTTAAAATAAACTAAGCTTAATTCAGTTTGGGCAACATGGCTTATTATTTTTTTGAAATAGCATTTATTTATTTCATAACAATCTTCTAAAACCCTCCTAAATCAATTTAAAACAGGTCAAACTGGGTTGATTTCGGGTTTCCAAGTCAACCCGAACCAGATCCTATTTTACAAACGGGTCGAAATCCCTAACCCGAATCTGACCCAGTTAGGGTTAAGGTTAACCTGAACCTAAAACTTTTGGGTCGGTTTGAGTCGATTTTTCGGGCCGTGTCAAATATTGACACTCATGTATGCATTTGAGCTGAACAAGTGCTCTAAGAGGGATGTGTTCACCCTATCACTGTGAGTTATCTGAGCGTATATATATGATATGTTTCAAAAATCTTGATATAATCTACTACTCGCAGTACCTGATTTATGATCCTTTATACCAATATGTGCTCATTGTACGTTTTAGAATATTGAATTCAGATTTATTTATTAATGATTTGAAAATCATATTCCTAGAGCTACAAGGATAGTAGATCTAAGTATGATGAAATTTGAGGGGGTTGAAAAAGAAGTATACAAAATGAACCCAAATATGGAAAGTAAAACTTTGAAATTTTATTGCTAATGTTCGATTGACAAAAGTATAGTTAAAACTCAAAATGTGAGATGATGTTTTATTGTGAAATTTGATATTTGTGTAATAATTTTAAAATTAAATATAAGAGAATGTTTATTTTATAAATGATATATTTTTAATTGTTATGTATGTAATTTAATTGTGAAAAAAGGAAAAAAATAAAATAAAAATAAAAAAGCGTGGAACAGAGTGGCTATAAAATGGTTCCAAAAATGCCTAAGCCGCCGATCACTTCCATTGCTATGCAGGGAAACCCTTGCTTCTAAACTCCATGGACGCGGCTCCTCCCTACTACCAACACGCGCCTCCTCCTTCCCACTATCCATATTATCACCCGCCGCCGGCCGAGAAACCCCCGCCGGCATACTTCCATTCGCAGCATCCACTTCCACCTCCGGTCCCCCACTATGCGCTGCCCCTTCCTCCTCCCCCAGCCCCTCTCCCGCCCCTTCCAAATCACGATGAGGTACGGACCCTCTTCATCGCTGGTCTCCCTGACGACTGCAAGTCCCGGGAGATCTACAACCTCTTCCGGGAATTCCCTGGCTACCAGTCCTCCCATCACCTCCGGTCCCCCACTATGCGCTGCCCCTTCCTCCTCCCCCAGCCCCTCTCCCGCCCCTTCCAAATCACGATGAGGTACGGACCCTCTTCATCGCTGGTCTCCCTGACGACTGCAAGTCCCGGGAGATTTATAACCTCTTCCGAGAATTCCCTGGCTACCAGTCCTCCCATCTTCGGAGCTCCACTGAATCCTCCCGGGTAATTAATGCTCTCCATCCCTTCATCTCTTCTGGTTATGTATTGTGTAGGTTGGAATCTGCTATGTATTTTATCTTATTGCGTATAGAGATACTTTGTGGGTGTATTAGGGTTTCATTTAATCAATTGTAAACTTAGCTGGTGAGTGCTTTGTTAAGAAATCTCTGTACTTGTTGGTGGAACTATACATGCTGGCTGCAAAAGTTTGTTTATTTAATTTGAAAATGGCTGATATAGATACGATTTAGCGGGTTTTGATTTAGCAAGGGACTTCAAGAAATGGTCAATTGATGAGTTCTGATTTCTGATGCGGGAAGTAATCTTTTTATTTATTCTTCGGAAACATGTGAATTCTGACTGTTGCCCAATTGTTGGAAACCCCATTTTCCTAGGAGAAGTTGTAAGCCAGTAAGTCTTGGTGAAAGGGCATGCTGAAGGAATAAATGTCCATTGCTTCTTGGTAAATTCTCCCGCTAAGTCTCTCTCTTTTCTCTTATCTCTCCCTTTTCTTAGGCAACCCAAGCCATTACCACCCTCTGCTTGTGCAAGCTCTCTCCTACTTGGGATGCGCTATTTTCATTTCTCCTTTCTCTATTTGTGTTGCCATACTAATCTAAATTTAGTACTAGCTAGGTTCTAGCAAACTTAGATCTATATCAAGGGATTTTGATAACAATTTGCAAAGATTTAGTCAATTTTTTTGACATCTTTGTATAAGACGACGAAGGTGTGAAACAGGAGGTGTGCTCTTTTGGTAAATCTCAGGAGATTAAAATTTATTGAATATATGTTATTAAATCTTGACATATAATTTTGATTGGAGATGGCTTCGTGATGATTATTATCTTCTTGAATTGATAGATTCTTTTGCATCATCTTCTGATTTCTTCCCTTCCTATTCTCAGGTAGAGAGAGTAAAAGAGGAGAAATATTCGTTTTCGGTTTGGTATGGCTTAGAGATGTTAAATTTTTGCAGTATATTTGAAGAAAAAGGTTTTTCAAGTGGCACAAATTGTATTAAAGAATAACTCAATTGTAGGAGATATGAAGATTTATTATTTAAAATTATCTAGTAACATATGAAATATGTTTTACTCATGTATACTAATAAGTATAACAAAATAAATCATTCTAAGTAATGATGTTGCCTTTCTTTACTGGTTGGGATTTGGTTCTTTGGTCACCAAAGCCTTCAAGCACCCTTCTTGACTTGTGCTTTATAGATTGCTTTCATATAATCAAGCATATATTAGTTTTTTTGTGATAAAATAATTTCAAATAATTGAAATTCTAGGTTTTTATGATGGGACCTCCATCACTAGTTTGTATTTTGGGGCAATTTAGCACAAAGTTTGGAATTGTTGTTTACTGTGAAATTAAGATCATTTTTTGTTATTTGTAGTTAGAAAAAAAAGGAAAATAGGAAAGAAATGTCATTTACAACATATAGAATACAAGATGTATCTAACTTGATTCAATAGAACATTAGGGTTTCTATAAAAAAACAAACCTAAACCATTGATTTCCCACTTGGACTCTTAGTTATTAACTTAGGACAACAATAAGAGGATTGGATCAGATCAAGTTGGCATCATAGCATTGGTCCTTGGTGCATGCTATACACAAATAGAGGATTACAATTTATTGGAGAATTGCTTCTTTTTAGTTCACTCTATAGAAACAAACATGATGAATTTATTGAAATTTCTAAAAGTGCAACTCTTCCAAATCTAGCCGAACAAGTTGCCAGATTGCCTAAGCAAATGGTTACTATGACGGAGTTGAAGAAGATGTAATTTTAGCAGCTTTGCCAAATTCTAACAGTACAAGTTGCATATGCTGCTGTCTAACATGATTGCGCTAACAAATGCTCATCAAACAAGTATTGTTATCATTGGTGAAATGAGAAGGATGACATGTGTTTGCACTAATAAATTTTGGAGGAGAGCAAGACCTTTCAAGGTGGAAATCTCTAGTTCTAATGTGACAACTAATGTAGAGACATTGGATATGTGGATTGATGAGCTAAAGAATTATTTCATATTGTATAAGTATAGAACTCATGACAATGTTCCTTTTGCCGATTGAAACTTGGTCATTAAGCTTTGGCATAGTGGAATGCTCACCTAAAAAGGATTGATCCTCAGGAATTAACCTAGGAACAATAGCGAATGTTTGGAGCAGGTTTAGGATCTGATCCAAGTAAGGAGAGTGAATCTCCTAATTGACTACTGCTTTATTTTAGTAATTTAATTGGAATTCTTTCAATTTAGCTATCAATCTTTAGTAACGTTGGTCATGAGCAGCAACAATTAAGTTTTATTTATTGGAAACAAAACTATATCAGAATATATATACTATTATGTATTTCTTATTTACTATATATATTATTTTATTTTTTACGCTTCATATTATAATTTTGTTCAATTTTGCTATATATTAATAAATAGTTGTGTCATTATTATAATTTTTAAATATAATAAATATTTATTACGTCATCCGGTTCGACCCCGGTTCGACCCCGGTCGAACCATCAAACCACTAACCCCTCCTTCTTCCGGTTCATTGACCGGTCCGGTTTTAAAAGCCTTGAATGCATGAATATCTTCAACATTTGATCTAGATAATCAAATACAAGAAGGGTGATAAACACAAAATGATTGACGTGCTCCCTTAGACAATGCTAACCCATTATTGTTTTAGCATTATCATACGGGCTGACCTTGTTTTGCAAAAGGAGTACAAATAGCATCACAAAAACATTTCTTTCTTCAAAGAGGTTCTGGAAAACTTGGGGAAAGGCATCTCCTTTGAAGTTTACTTGGTAGGATGACTTCTTTTACAATATGCAATCCTAATGTGTAGACTGGGTATGTTGGATTCGGAAGGCACGTTCACTTGATAATTTAAAGGAGGCAAAGCATTGCAAAATTTATAATGCTACATTCATTGGCCCAAAATGCGAGAGGATGGTGGTAAGTGAGTTAAAGGGTGCATACTGCATAGTATTTCAAGTCTTTAAACTGAAAGCTCCAATTCTGCATGCTTTTGCTTGTGCCAAGCCTCCTATAAGAAAGCATTTCCATGAATTCATGGGAGAATTGTATAGGACTAAAAAGGACCACAATCTCTTAAGGGCATTGGTGGTTTTTCAAAGATGATTATTTTGATAGCTTATAGGAAATCAATCTCAAAGAAGGGACTGACATATTATTCTTTTAGTATATGGGGGCACACTTTAGACTGTGTAACTCCATTGTGTTTGATAGAGTACTTAACTGTTTTCAGATGAACACAATTTTAAAGAGGTGCATTGCATTTTATCCATAGATAGATGGCCATAGAGATGTGCGAACAAGATAATGGTGCATCTGTTGACCTTTGTGTAAAATCCAGAAGAAAACAAAGGTGAAAATCCCGAAAATCATACCTGCAGACTATCAGATCCAGAAATCCCGCACCTCGGACCGTCGAACCCCTAAAATTCGCAAGAAATCTCGCCGAGGCCCACAGCATCTCTTACGGGATTGCAACATTAATCATACAAAGACTAAGGATGATAACCTTATAGATAGTTTGCCTTCAATTGAGTTGTACACTCCTTAATTATGAAATCTTCGGTTGAGGTATGTTTGGGTTATTTGCCTAAAAACTCATTTGACCTCCAGTTCTCTATCACCCCTAGTATTAATAGTGGGATTAAAGTCGTCAAAGAAAGAGAACCAAAAATTCATTGACGGAATTAAAACAATCCACATGTTGATGGAGAAAAACTTGCAAATAACTCAACAAAATTACAAGGAAAGGCACATTCAACATCGTGTCAAAGCCAACTTCCAAGTTGTTATCTTATTTGGTTGCTTTTGGACAAGATTTGACAGTAGGGTGGTAAACTAGAGCTTGAAGCCAATCTAGGATGAGCCACTTTATGTTTTCAAGAAGACTGGAGACAATGCCTGCCAAATTGAGCTGCCACCATATGGTTGAAGATGTAATTAGTGGTGAATGTAAAAATGTTGAAGTTGGAGAGCCTATAGAAGTATTTTCTATAGATACATTAAGGGAGCACGTGGTACCATTGGAGTTGAACATTCTTTTGTAGGAAAAGTTAACTGCTATATGGTATGGTCAGAAGAAAACTTATCACATTGGAAAATCTAGTGTTGCAAAGTTATACACAAAGTAGGCTGTGCAGGCAACTTTCCTTCATCCGAAGTTATAATTTTACAACAATGAAATTCTCCTACAAGGGTGCTATCTAGGGATCATATATAGTAGATGAATAGATCATTCATGATTGTAATTTGGCCATCAGATCATGAAGACATCAATCAATCGGAAGTGATCTTTAAAACTTTGACAGTTCGATCTCTTGATGGAGATTGTCAATGGTGGTGATTCTCATATCACATTATTGAGATTTGAGATCTAGTTATCATTAGTTCATGGGTGAAGATGGATCAAAGAACATAGGTTTGTTGATCGATTGCGAGGCACAAAATCTGAAATGTTAGATGATGATCTAGACGACAACATGATTAGGATGAATTTTATTTTAATTTGTTTTGGACAAGTTTGTAATTCAAATTAAAATTCAAGGATAAGGGTGTTATCTAGGAAGCATATATAGTAGATGACATAGATAATTCATGATTGTAATTTGGCCATCAGATCATGAAGAAATCAATAGGATTGTGATCTTCAAAATGTTAGACCGGTCCAGTGGACCGGTCCAACCGGTCCAAGCGGGACCGGCCCAGACACGAACAGGGCGGAATTTTTGTGCCTGTTGAAATGTCGCACGAGCCACACGTCGTGCCGGAGCCAAATAGGAAATAATTTTGGGGGAATTAAGAGGGAAATTTGAATGTAGGGATTGTTTAGGGAATTCCTTTTGATTTGTATGCATTAAATTCTTGAATTTGGCTGAAATTTGAGATCTCTTAGATTTAGGTTTTCTTTGGGCTCTAGAGGCGTCTAGAGATTTGTGAGAGATTGATCCTCCTCTCGAATAGAGGATCAATTGTATCTTGCTATTTTATGTTTTCCTTTCATCAAATAATAAAAATTATCTACTGTTTTCGTGATTTTGTGCGGACTTTTGTGAAGATTTCTCGCTGTTTTTCGAAGATTGATAGGAAATACTTGAGATCTTCAAGTGTTTTCTATCAAATTGGTATCAGAGCAAGTCTTGGGACCGTTCGTGGGTTGATTTTGCAAAGTTTGGCGTCCAATTTTTGGTCGAAAAGGGACGAAGTGCTGTTTTTATAATCCAAATATGGAATTTTTGGATTTACAAAAGTTCGGATCGAGATGGCTTGAAGGGGAGATAAACCAAATCAAGACAACGGTGGAGGAAAGGATTTCCTCCATGGAAGAACAAGTAGCCGATCTCCGGATCATGATGAAGAAAATGTTGGAAATCAAAAATCAAACGGCTGCTTCAGTAGAAAAAGAGGAGGAAAGAAAAAACACGAATTCAAATATTCGTAGGGAGGAAAACGAGGTGGAAATCATGGAGGGAGAAAGAGAAAAATTCTATATGGAGCCTTTCCAGAGGGAGGCGAGAGGAGGTAGGTATGGGGAAAGGCATGAGTTTGGACGGACGGAGTAAAGGGGTGCTAATTGGGAGCGCTGGGAGGGACATTATGGTTCCCGAGGTGCTGAGTTTGAAGGAAGAAGAGGGGAATTCGAAGGGTGTTTGGGCTATGGCAGGGCAAGGGAAGACCAGGAGACGTGGCGTGGGCCGAGCACTTGGGAGAGGGGAAGCTATGGAGGAATCAGGGGGAATGGTGGAGATTAGAAGGTGAGGAAGTTGAAGATGCCTATCTTTGAGGGGGAGGATGCGCATGGGTGAATCTATAAGGTGGAGAGGTACTTTGTCATTAATGGGATGATAGAGGATGAGAAACTGACAGCAGTAGGCCTATGTTTGGAGGGGAAGGCACTGTCATGGTATCAGTGGAGAGACCGAATGAGACCTATCAGGTACTGGAGCGAATTCAAGGACTGCATAATAGAACGTTTCCAAATTGACCGGAGAGGAAATTTCTATGAGCAGTTCTTTGCTCTGGCGCAGGAAGTATCAGTAGCGGACTGTCGGGAGCAGTTTGAGCACTTAGCCAATAGGGTGGAGCGATTATCAGATATGGTATTGGAGGGGAACTTCATGAAAGGGTTGAAGGAAGAGATCCGAGCAGCAGTGAAGGTTTTGATGCCTCGTGACTTAGGGGAGGCCATGAAGTTGGCCCAGCTGGTGGAAAATCAGAAGAATATAGATAAGGGAGCTAGGAGCAACAACTCAGGAGGATTTTACAGGATGACCACTTCAGCAATTTGGTAAGGATTTTCTGCCACCTCAAGGATGGCCACCTCCACCAGAACACGAGCATATATCCACCTTGAGGACAAGGTGGATCTTTGGGAGGGGAGTATTGTTAGATCGGTCCAGCTGGTCCACGTGGGACCGGCCCAGACGTGAACAAGGCAGAATTTTTTCGCCTGCTGGGATGTCGTGCGAGCCACACGCCGTGCAGGAGCCAAATAGGAAAGAATTTTGGGAGAATTAAGAGGGAAATTTGAATGTAGGGATTGTTTAGGGAATTCCTTTTGATTTGTATGCATTAAATAGTTTGTTTTCCTAGGGTTAGGACATCTTGAATTTGGTTGAAATTTGAGTTATCTTAAATTTAGGTTTTCTTTGGGCTCTAGCGGCGTCTAGAGATTTGGGAGAGATAGATCCTCCTCTCGAATAGAGGATCAATTGTATCTTGCTATTTTCTATTTTCCTTTCATCAAATAATACAAATTATCTACTGTTTTCGTTGTTTTGTGCGGACTTTTGTGAAGATTTCTTGCTGTTTTCCGAAGATTGATAGGAAATACTTTAGATCTTCGAGTGTTTCCTATCACAAAACTTAGACTGTTGGATCTCTTGATGGGGATTGCCTTTATCTGTGATTCTCAGACCACATTGTTGAGATTGGAGATCTAGTTTTCATGAGTTCGTGGTTGAAGATGGATCGATGAACATAGGTTTTGTGATCGATTGCAAGGCACAAAATCTGAACCATTAGATGACAATCTAGATAACAACAAGATTAGGATGAATTTTATTTTAATTTGTTTCGGACAAGTTTGTAATTTCAAATCAAAATTCATGATAGGAATGCTTATTTTATGGAGTTTGTACAAGAATTTGTTTCTTTCTATTGTTGAGGTAGTCTAGGAAAGATAAAATTGAATTTAAATTAAATTTCTACTGTAATTTCCTATTTAAAGCCTGGATTCTTGCAGTAAAAATCCATCCATATCTCCCAAATCTTTTTCCTTTTTTCTTCTCCTTTCTCATATGGTTGGCCTTATGGCTTCCTGCTGCTGACAACGAGCTTATAGGCTTGCTGTTTTCACTGATTCAAATACGGCAAAGGTAGCTTGTTGGTAGTGCAAAAAATAATTCTTGGCGGCTGTATACTGCAATCCAAATAAGGAAAGCAACAAAGGAGTTCCTCATTTTTTGTTGTTTCCTTAGCAATTTAATTGGACCTAAAACCTAAGGAATTCCTCATTTTTGTACTTCACTTTTTTCAATTCATCTACAATATGACAGCCAACTTAGATGAAAAAATAAGTAATATTAGTCTAATGTCAAAAAGTGTGTGCATACTGCATAGGTATATTATTTTGGATTCTAATGCTGTGTTTAATTCACAGAATTCTATTTTAATCCTTGATGATGTAATTTTGTATTTTGATGGTTACTGCTGTCTAGCTAATTCTCATCCTTGTTTGGTTTACAGCCATATGCATTTGCTGTCTTTGCTGACCAACAATCTGCAGTTGCTGCAATGCATGCTTTGAATGTAAGAAATTATACAACATTGATTTATATGTATATTGATGTTTCTCTTAGCTTTTGTTTGCTTTTGTTGGAACTTTAATACCCAATTTGAAAAAAAAAAACATGTGTTTTTTTAATGTTGTAATAGCTACTCAATTTTACTATGTTGACATTATCAAAGGTGGATTCCTACTTGGTGCTTGGGGAGGGGTTTGTAGTTTCCTGTAACTGGATATGAGCTATATTAAGTACAATTGGAATCCAGTTCTTAGTCTGGGTGGTAATTGGCCCAAAGCGATGTTAGGTATTTGGTGTTTGAGTTCCACCAAAAAGATACACTAAATACAATGAGAAAAGCTTAGACATATATCTAATAAATAATACCTTTTTTTCTTGATGTCAATCTATAATATCCAATAAAAAGCACACTTACTTCATGGGGATTTTAGTCAATGGGGAGTTTGGGGTAGGTTGATGTACAAAGTATTCTCCCATTTTAGAGGTGCATGATTTCAACCCATAACTTCCAAATTAGGCATATATTTATGTTGCGGTTAATTGAAGTTCCATTTGCAAATCTGACTCGACCAGTGGTCTGCTTTTAACCATTGGATGCCCAGTAACAGACCCAAAATGAGAAAAAAGCCTCACCCAAATATTAGTAAGTGCTCAACTTAGTACGAGGGTTTTACACTGTCACAACTCAATTGTTGAAAATTAATCTAATTTGATCCATCCGTTGATGACACTATCCAAATTGATAGAAAGTGCTGCTCCTCTCCCAGCACTTCATTGAGGACAGTACAATAACAACAACATCAAGCCTTTATCTACGCATTTACAAAAGCCAATCCCCAAACGGAGCCTTTATATATCCATTTGGTTACTATTGTGCTTTAGTTGGTTAGGCAGGGAGAAAAAACCCAAAATATTGAGCTTGAGCATATAGGTTCGTTTGGGATAAGCTTTTGCAACTGTTATTTCCCTTTTTTGCTAGTTCTCTAAATAAAATTTAGGTACCAAAAATAACCGCATATACATATAGGAGATATTGTGACATCTGGACAGAGTAGTTTGATTAGGATTAATGTTTGATTACACTAATTATGCCTCTAATTGGACTAAAACATAAGAAGGCAAGGCTTTTTAGGGGTAAATATCGGAGTTTGTTTCCCTGAAATGAATTGGTGGTATTTGATTTTGTTGATTCATCGAACTAAAAGCAATTTGTATGATTACAATGGCATGACAACTATGTGGCATAATATCATTTTGTATAAGATATAATACAATGAATATGAATTACTGTAAATACATTATAGTATAAGAAATTCAAATCCACAATTGTGTGATCTTCTTAATTCTTTATACTAGTGGCCATTTAACGTATTATTTAAAAGAAACATTGCAAAATAAATATATTTAATAAACTAAAGTTTCGCTTATGAGATTTTTCTTACTGTTTTGTAAATTTTTATGCAAGAAATCTTTTTTGAAAGTGGAAAAAATAGTTGGCCTCTAAAGCTGTATCAAAATGAAACCTAAATGACAAATCGGTTTATCTCAAAAGTTGTTGTTTTGGATGAGCGATTCTAAAAAAAACTCATTAAAGCTAGTCCCAAATTAACTCTAATTTTAATTATTCTTTGGAGTTTTCACAACTATTTTCAAGGTTTTAAAAGGTGAAGCTATGCCTTATAGAGGGAACCCATTCTTGTTTCCCTCTATAAACAAGACGGTGGCAAAAAATTCTGTTGGCGAGGGGGAAAGGGTGGATTGTTCGAAACAACCCAACAGAAAGGCATCGCTTATTTCGGTACTCGGATTGGAGAAAGCAGCCGAGTCCTAAAGTTATCGGATGTGTTGGGCTTGTAAGGCATTATAGTCTCATATGGCTCTTGATGTTAGTGATTCTGCGGTAAGAATCTAGATCTGCTAGAAGAATTCTCTATTATCCAAGAGAACAAACACGAGCTCTTAAGGCTTCAAAGAGTATATAATTCATCATGGTCTCATTCTCTTACCAATTGGTTCTTAATATAATAAAGCAAGGAATTTTCTAGAAGCGACAAGCATTAAAACCTTTTACCTATGGACCTTGCCTGGCAAAAACTTTAATCACTTTTATAAGGCCTGCAGAGGTAATAATTGTAATAACGAAACAAGAAATAATTACACGCAAAAGGTTCAAGATATAGACGATTCTATACAAATTGTATGGACAATTTTTTTCTTTTTTTCGCTTTTTAGTAAATATACTCTTTAACAATGAATAGATATTTTCTATGTTTTTTACTTGGCACAGTTGAATTTCACAAGTTGTTGTTCTATGAAAATACAAAAATCATCTCAATCAAAAATAGCAATAAATAAGTAATCGATGAACTACTTTCAAACCAAGATTTAGAACTAAAACTTACCCAAAATAATACTGTCATTGTGATAAAACCCAAGAAGCCAATTTAAAAATGTATCTAGGGCGGTAAAAAATGGTTTGAGTCGGTTCGGTTTGAACCCGAATCTGGACTAGACACTTTTTAACCCCAAATCGACCCGACCCATTTTATAAAAGGGGTCTGATTTTTCGGTCCTGAAACTACCTGTTTGGGTACATTTTAGTAAAGTATTTTTAAAATTAATTCAAATTTATTTAAATCTAAAATTGAATTAAGGGGGGGGGTAAGTACGATTTAACTGCAATTCAATTTAAATAAATCAAAGCTATTCAATTGAGCAACAAGTTTTATTTGTTTGGAAATAACATTACTTATTCATAACAATTTCTAAGCCATCCTTAAAATTTAATATTAATAACAGGTTCAAATTAGTTCTGATTTTAGGTTTCTGAGTCAACCGAACCATACAGTTTTAACAAACGAGTTGAAACCCCAAACCCGAACCCCAACCTGAACTCGATTCGGGTTCAGGTTGCGCTGAACCTTAAATTTTTGGGTTGGTCGGGTCGATTTTGTCTCGGGTGTATATTGACAACCCCTCATATGCATTGAGCTAAACAAAGTGCTCTAGAGAGAGGGATGTGTTTTCTCCTATCCACCTGTAGTTCCCTGAGCAAAATATATGATCCTTTCAAAAGTCATGATAATAATCTACTACTCGGAGTAACTGATTTATGATGTTCATTACCAAATCTTGCTCATCGTACCCTTTTAGGAATATGGAATTAAATTTATCTATTAATCTATCAAAATTAAATTCTTAGAGCTACAGAAATATTATCAAAGGTAGAGTGAAATTGAGGGTTGAAAAAGAAGTTACTAAAGACACCCAAATATGAAAAGGTTACTTGAAATTTATACCTAATGTTTAATAGACAAATGTATACGTTAGAAAGTTTCAAAAATAACCCTATATTTATAGGTTTTTAGGATATTGGAAAAAAAACAAACATAAAATAAAAAGATAAGACTAGGAACTTTAATAAACCAACATACACATGAAATGATGTTTAATATTAAATCATGAAATATGTGGGTGGATAGATTCTCATGATTTGTCCAAGCAATGACTTGCTAAAATCTCAAGAGAACTTGCCGACCTCCTTGGGAATCTTAGAATTTGGTTGAGAGTTACAATACTATCGATTGCCATTGTCTTTCATGGACTGAGTTTATTAATTTAGCCGCTTACTGAGACAAATTCATACGTCGTAGCAGTTTCATTCGGGTGAAAGTGTCAAATTGTAGATTTGATGAGTTCCTTCTTGATGATAATTAAGTAGACCGAGTTGGTTTTAGCTTTTGAATTAGACGATTTGAACTTGAATAAAATTTTGAGAAGATGATTCATCTACAATATTATGTATTTCTTTTTTAATATTGAAATCCATATATTTGGGGCATGTCATACAAATTGCTAGAAATTGAAAGGTGAAAAATGTGAGATAAAGTATTATTTGTGGGAAAATTTGATATTGTTGTAATAATTTAAAATTAAAATAAGAGAAGTTATTATAAATGATATATTTTTTAGTTGGTTATGGCATGTAATTAATTGTGAAAAAAAAGAAAAAAAGGAAAAAAAAAAAAACGTGGCTTATAAAAGGTATCAAATATGGGCCTAAGCCGCGTCTGCACTTCCTATTGCTATGCAGGGGAAACCCTTGGCTCAAATTCCATGGGACGCGGCTCCTCCCTACTACCAACACGCGCTCGCCTCTTCCCTACTATCCATATATCAGCCACCCGGCCGGGCCGAGAAACCGCCGCCGACGTACTTTCCATCGCAGCATCCACTCCAAACCTCCGGTCCCCCACTTATGCGCTGCCCCTTCCTCCTCCCCCAAGCCCCCTCTCCCGGGGGCCCTCTCCAATCCACGATGAGGGACGGACCCTCTTCATCGCTGGGTCTCTCCCCACGAACTGCCAAGTCCCGGAGATTTATAACCTCTTTCCGAGGAATTCCCTGGTCTACCAGTCTCTCCATCTTCGAGCTCCACTGAATCCTCCGCGGTAGATGTAATGCTCTCCCATTCCCTTCATCTCTTTTTATTGTATTGTGTAGGGTTGGAATCTTTGCTATGTATTTTATCTTTGCGCTTTATAGAGGATAACTTTGTGGGGGTGTATGTAGGGTTTTCATTTTAATCACATTGTAAAACTAGCTGTGATGTGCTTGTTTAGAAAATCTCTGTAGATGTTGGGGAACTATATACTGCTGGCTGCGCAAAAGTTGTTTATTAATGAAAATGGCTTGATATCGATACGATTTAGCGGGGTTTTGATTTAGCAGGAACTT